TGGCACTGGCACTCTGCTGCTCAGGGGCAGCCCAGCCAGAGACCTCCCTCCTGCTGCTTGTGTCTGTGCCAGCGTCCTGCCCCTCCTCCCCCACACCCCCTTCTCCTACCCCTTTACACACACACACCCTTTTCCTTTCTCTCTCCTCTCCTCTCCTCTCCTCTCCTCTCCTCTCGGAAAAGGTAAAAGCTTTTGTTTTGGAAAATAACTACCAGCTTGGGGGAGATGTAACTGGCAGGCATGAGTCAAGTGTTAAATGTATTAAAAACCCTACTGCTTCCAACTAAAACTTTAAAATAGGAAATAAATAGAAGAAGCAAGGAGGCACCCACATCAGTGCCAGGGTTCTCTTCTCTTCTCTTCTCTTCTCTTCTCTTCTCTTCTCTTCTCTTCCTTTCTCCCCTCCCCTCCCCTCGCAGGAACAGCCGTTCAGAGCCTGCTGATCGGTAGGCGGGGCTGCAGTGCCATTCGGTGCCAGTCACACCGTGCCAGCTTTGCCAGGGCAGCCCGCAGGGCCCCAGGCTGCAGGAGGTGTCTGGGTGCAGCTCCGTGTGCCCGCAGCAGGCAGCAGTGGGGCCTGTGCCCAGAGGAGGTGGCAGCAGCTGAGGGGCAGCCAAGGAGCCTGCACTCAGCACGGCCGCCCGGAGCCATTTCCCCAGCTGAGCGAAGCTCCAGTCACTCCCTCCTGGCCGCTGCTCCTGCTGTCTGCCCACCAGCTGCAGAGCCGTGCTGGGTGTGCTGGGCTTGGCTTGCTTGCTTGGCTGGGGTGTTTTTGGCTGCTGGCACTTGTTACAGCACACTGAAGGCTGCATTGAGTGCCTGGAAGACACACAGAGCCCACAGGGACAAAGGTGAAATCCAGAGAGGACATGCACGTGTGGCACTGCAGCTGACCCTTGACACTCTGCTCACTCAGGTGAGAATGAGGAAGAATGCTCGTGCACTTATGAGACTTTGAGCAAGACAAGGGCCAGGGGTTTGGTTCTAACACAGCACATTAGTTCAGACAACCATCTCTACTGAAAGAGATTTCAGTTTCCCCCAAGCTTTGGCTCAAGGGAGATAATTAAGCTTTATCATACTGTACAAGACTAATAATTGTTACTACACAATGTGGTTGCAGCAACAGCTTACGTTGTTACATTCACCTTTTCAAAGTACTGCTAGATGCCTTTATGCACTGAAAATGTGACCTGCTGGAACTCAGACAAACGTGACACATTTTCTATTAGTGAATAATTATTGACTGCTATTTTTAGCATTCCAGAAGCTGTTCTACCACAAAACATGGAAACTCCAGTATTAAAACCAAGGCATGAGTGGGTCGTGAACATACAAGAGGCAAATTGTCATGGCAGCTTATATATGGTTGCCCCCATCCAGAACTGCAGCATTTTCAGTCTTTAAAACACAGCATGAGAAAATGAATTGCATCTCTTTTATTTCAAATGCAGGACAATTCCCTGAGTAAGCAGCTTTTTACTTAAATAAAACTTTTCCAGACTTTAAAATAAACCTGTGGAACGAGTTCACAGAGCTGATGGTGAGCTGGAGACAGCACGTTCCTTGGCCCAGGGAAGAAGAGGCCTGGCAGGAGCTCTTGAACTACTGACTTCCAAAGCTTCAGCCTGTCCTGTCACCAGCCTCCTTCAGTGCAGCAGTCTCCCCCACATCCACGTCTCTCCGACTGACCTCTGGATTTTGAATTACTCTTTGTCTACTCTGCCATGACAGAGATTTTTCATATTTGGTCTTAAAAAGTAATCCATGACCTAAGAAGCAAGGATGGGGGGAGGGGGAAACAAAACAAAATACAACAACAAACCTGAAATATGACTGCACTGGTAAAGAGAACAGCTCATTCCTTACATTTATAAAGAATGGTTCCTCACAGTGTGGAAACTATGCATCCCAAGGCTTTGGAAGCAGGACAAATACCATACATAGAAGAAATCACAGGCTTTTGGAAATGTATTATAAAATTCTAGCTAGATGTATATTTTAACACACACCCAACACCCCAGAAACCAAAGATGAAGGTAATGACCATACAGGGAAGATGTTTGCTGTTAAGGGCAGCTGCACTTACCTGGACAGTCTGCTGTCTCTTTGAATGCTCTTTTCTTGCAGCATCCTCGACACATGTTAAATACACATTTATTGCCCTGGGTTGGGATGGGGGGATGAAGAAGCTTGTATCAGTGAAAATAAAACTATTGTTGTTTACTGTAATAAACAGTAACACAGCTCTGCACATTCAGACCACTGGGAAAAAAACCAAACTTGTCTATTAGGCAGGCACACCTCCATCTAATGAAGATGACACAGCTGATGTCATATGTGGGGGGGGAGCCCCAGTTATCATCACTTTGTACAGAGAACAAAATAATATTTAAAAAATCCCCACTGAATTTCTGCAATATCAGTAATCCTTTGGGCATCCCGAGTTAGACAACAGAAGCAGCCAAGTCCCCACAGCACGCTGGAAGAAACGTTTGAAATTTCATCTATAGTTTCAAACACATATAGACAACCTGGAAAACAGGTTTTTAACACTGCTCATGGTGAAACCTGGTGTCAGTCTGCCAGCAAAAACAGAGCTGAGAATGGCTTGGGGCTCACTCTTGTTCTGAACAGGGCACAGCTCCAAACCCAACAAACACACAGAGCTGCAGCTGGCCTGACACTCCTACAGGCTGTGCTGCAATGGTGTCCAAAGTGTTTGCATTAGCAAACCAGTAACTTCTTAGAGGGCATGAAGTGACAGGGAAAGGGCCAATGGCTTTAAACTGAAAGAGGGTAGACTTCAATTAGTTACAAGGAAGAAATTCTTCACCATGAGGTTGGTGAGGCACTGGAACAGGTTGCCCAGAGTTAGTAGATGCCCCATCTCTGGAAGTGTTGAAGGCCAGGTTGAACAGGGCTTGGAGCAACCTGGTCTAGTGAAAGGTGTCCCTGCTCCCTGCACGGTGGTGGGACTAGATGAGGCTTAAGGTTCCTTCCAACACAGCACATTCTATGAATAACTACACCAATCACTCTAATTCTCAGTCCCTGCAGAAGAACAACACCCAGCACTGACCCTAGCAGGAGGTGTTTGGTTTTAATTTAACAGTAGACTATACATGTGTAATTACTGAAAGTTTGGAGATTTGTTGCCAAGAGATTTTGGGCAGTTCATCTCACTCGCCCATCTTAGCAATAAATGTCCTCAGCCACAGTAAAACTGCACTTTTCTAGAAAGGAAGGCAAATGATCTGAAGGAATGCAGCTGTTAGTGAGTTTTGTGCAGCACTTTCAGCAGTTAGTTACAGTGAATACTTAAGATGCCTTTGTCTATGCATGGACTTGTTTTTCCCCTGCCCCTCCACATCAGCAGAACGTGGTAAGCATGCACTACTGAACACTGGCATGGACCTACCTCAGGACCTAGAGAATAGAGTTGGAGAAGGTTTGGGGTTGGAAGGGACCTTCAAAGGTCGTCTAGTTTCAACCACCTGCCCTAGGCAGGGACACCTCCCACAAGGTTGCTCAAAGTCCCATTCCAGCTTGGTCTTGAACACATCCAGTGATGGAGCATCCACAGCTTCTCTGGGCAACCCGTGCCAGTGTCTCACCATTAAAAAAATTACTTCCTTATAGCTAGTCTGAATCTACCCTCTTTTAGTTTAAAAAAAAATTACCCCTTGTCCTGTTGTAGCAGGCCCTATTAAAATGTCTGTCCCCAGGTTTCTTGCAGGCCCCCTTTGGATACTGAAAGCCCACGAGAAGGTCTCCCCAGAGCCTTCCCTTCCCTTCCCCAGGCTGAAGAACCCCTCTGTCAGGCTGCCCCCACATCTTACTCATGCCAGCAGGAACCCCCGAGGAACACCACTCGTCACTGTTCTCCATCTGGACACTCAGCCATTTGACCACTGTGTGGTCATTTAATTTCCATTTAATGGAAATTCTTTAATGGCAACTGGCACTAACTTACCTTTGGGTTTCCACACTGATCACACTTTGCATATTTCGCTGGAAAAGAGAGAGAGAGAGAGAGAGACCTGATTTCAACAATGGGAGTTTTATGTGGAAGAAATGAAAAAAAATACTAGGATCAGACAACTCTTGGCCCTTTCCTACTTAGAGAAATTCTGAAACAAAAAGATGGTACCTCAAAGAAGAGTCCAAGCGTAAAGATACTTTGACTTTTTAAGTGCCTCTAAGCTAAATCCAAACAGAGAAAGTTTTAATCCTCAAGTAAATTGTAAAAGAGGACATCTGCTTCAAATGCACGTGAAATTTCACTTTCAAGTACTACCAACAGCTACAGTTTAGTCTGTAAAGTATTTTGATCTTAAAAAGACACTTTCAGTGGAACAATGACCTACTTATTTGAGCCTTGTTTTCTTTACTAATGAACATAATTTGAACCACATTGCCTATGAACAAAATTTCCTGATAATCCCCTTCTTTTTAAAGTTTTCTACAACTACATAAACAAGGAAAATAAATAACATCATTTATTGTGACAAATTATGTCAAATGTAGCATCAGTAACTTTCCATGCAATTATGCCAATAAATTAATCTTACGCTTTAAAGATGGATCAAAGCTTTTATTTGGATTTCTTAACTTCTTTTTTTGTTTATTCTTTGACAGAACCTCAGAATTTCCATCCTCCTCTTCCAAAGCACGTTTGCCTCGCACACCTTTTTCAGTCCCACTGGCTCCATTCTCCTTGCATCTCTCCTTTGTCCTGAAATGGTGAATAGCATCATAAGTTGGATAAAGGAAAGAACCAGGTGTTCTCTGGACACTACACTGGTTTACAGAAATCTGGGTAAACTGTAAACCTTTCTGTCATGTTGAAATGCTGGGGTCTGAACCCCAAGCCCTGAATTAAGGTTGCCATATGGGTGATCCCCACAGCCCTTCATCCAGAGGGGTGAGTTTGCCTTAGAGCTTCCCCCCAGGGTGCGGCCGGCCCTGCAGGGAGAGCCAGAAGGGAAATGAGCCCCAGGGGTCCCGCAGGGAGCTGACAAAGGTCAGGGCTCTGCTGGGGGATAAAAGCTGGGAGCACTGGCAGGGAGTCAGGAGAGTCTGTCTGTGGAGTGCACTCCCCAGAGCTGCCTGGTTCAGGGCAGACCTCCTGACTCTCCTGGAGCTGGGCCCTGGTCTGTTTAGACCTTTGTGAACACGGGTTGATTAGGTGAGAGTTGCCATGTGGGCACCTTTCTCTTATATGTTTAACTTGCTGCTCTGGCTGTTTCCCATGCCAGCTGTGGGCAGCCTCGGGGCTCTGTTTGTACCACCTGTTGTGGGCCCAGTCACATCTGTTGTGGGATCGTTGGGGGTGGTGTCGTTTATGTCCCAGCTGATTGATCTGTTTGTACCCCCCGCGATCATTCATGGACTGTCCTTCTTGTCTACAGTACAGTCTTTGTATTGGTGCAGCTTCCTGCTGGTGCTATCATTTTTGTTGGGCCTGGTCATTGGCAAAACAGGTCTTCACTTACTTTCAAGTGAACGTAAGCTCCTAGAACAGAGCTGGATGGCTCAGTACTGACAGTACAGGTGGGAAAGGCCTATGGGTACCTGTCCATATCAGAACAGGTAACTCACCCTGGTCTGATGTATGGCTGACAGATCCAGTGGAAAAAAGGCAACCCTTCTTTTGGCTTTTCTCCTTCTTTCTGATTAGCTATTTCTTCCTGCAGCAGAAAGTTACAGTTAGTTTTCCTGGAGTTCTCAGGAAATATTCAATATTTCAAACTCCAGGAAACCACAAATTGGAATTTACACTACCAGTTACTGACAGTTCAATATAGGCAGAGAAATTCTACTAAGACAGATGAATTGAAGCAGATTTGTGACTCCTAAAGCAACTTTATCCTATGTAAAGCTGCTCACACTTAATGGGCTGTTACTGCTGTAAGCTACCAATATCAAGGCTGGCAAGCCACAAAGTTGCAGTGAAGGGACTAACAGACATCAACTGCATGACGTACATGGTAAGTTCCCACAAGGTGAGGACAGTATTGTTCTAGGAAATTAGGACCCATCTTGGTACCTGGCATCGTAGTTTCAGCTCCCTGTTGACATCTACAATGCCTTCTAGAGTCTTCACTTTTGCTAATTCTTCACGCAGCTGATGGTAAACTTGAAGCCTGAGGCAAATCCCAAACATCAAGTCTTATTTATTCATTATTGCTAGACTGAGATCAACTAAAAATGTCTTTATAAAAGTTTTTTTACAGATTCTTTTCTTCTGCACTTGCCTTTGGCAGAAGCTCATCTTCCTTCCTGTAGTAAGTCCAGAGAAAAGCACACGTACCTGTTCCTCTTTGCCAAATAAATACTTGGCACACAAGCAAGGTGCTCTGAGAGAAGTGAGGGTGGACGTACAGTGCATCAGCTGCCCCTCAGCAGCTCCCCATGGCCACACCCTTTACTCCACAAAAGATGCAAACCAGCTTGCCTCACAGTGAGCATGGAGTTAGTGGACTCAGGTCCACCACACAGTGCATCTGTTCATATGGGCAGCTACCACACAGCAGCTGATGTGCTGTGAGCTCACACCCTGGCTTATCTTGTGGTCCCTTGCTCATTCCCCATTTGCTGTTCCCCAGATACACTGTAAAGTGTAAAGGCCTCAGCCCACATTCTCTCCAGCCAAGTCAGGAAAGAAAACCTTGCAGAATACTAATTTTGGCCAAACAAATCCTTGCCCAGAAAAGCCAGACACTTGCTAAGCCAGATCAAGCACTGAAAACATGAAGAGTTCTCTGGAAATACTCACGTGTGATGCCAGAGCTTGAAGAGATGAGCCCTAACATAAGACAGTGGACAAGGGTACTTCTGCACTATGTCCAGATACTCCTCAGCCATCTCCCACACCAAGGGGTTTCGTCCCTCAAACAAAGCTGGGTTATGAAGATTACCTTCTAAGGAATGAAAAGAAATACTCCCTTTCATTTCAGCACTGAAACAGAAAACACCACCTAGGCTGTGGAGCTTGATTAGTTCTGCTGTGATCCTACCCACCAGTCACAAACACATTGACCATTTACTCACAAAGAGGAGCACAGGGTCCACAAAACTCTAACCTGACCTCAGGATACTGTATTTCACTATAGGATTATTTGAGTCAAATAGCTATATGTAATTAAAGTACATTTTCCAGAAAGGCACCCAATCTTGACACAAAGGCAGTAAAAAAATTAGTAAATACAACAATTACTGTTTTTCTTGTTCAGTGGTTAAATACCTAGACAATGGGTGTCTCACCTTACATCTGTATTCACACTTGTCTAGCCTAAGTTTACAGATAACTGCTTCTCACTATGCTTTTCCCTACTAGCTTCACAAGCCTTTTTTTGACTAGTATTTTCTAAAACCAAGATTGTACAACCCCCTAGGAAGTATGTTTCATTGCTTTAACTGTGCAAGTGATGGGAAGCTTTTTCTGCTGCCTATCCTGGTTAGCTCTTCTTGTAGGAAACTGTGTCAGTTCTTTCTTGTCCCAACCCAACACAAACTGTCTGCAGGAATACTCATGAGTGGACACACTTACAGCATCAAGATCCATTCAAAAACCATTCCATTGTTTAACAGATGTCAGGAAAATATTCCAGGGCAATAGGAGTCCCATACATCTTTGTCAAGTAATTAGATTTAAGCTGTCCAGTCAATGGTACTACAAGTCCAACTAACAATAGTTACAAGTCTTAAGTGACTCCTGGTCCTGGTAATAGATGGCTAGTATAAGAGAGAGAATGGCCACTCAGCTTTCAGTCAAAGCTGTTCACCAAGTCAGTCTGATCAATAAAAGTATATGGGCCTGCTAAGAGCTTAAGAAACTGTGTGTATACTCCTGTATTACGAGTAAAAGTCCATTTTCTTTACCTGCACTCATGACACCATGCACTCCTGTCCTACGGATACATTCTTCCACATCACCCAGACACTGGATGTTTCCATTTGCAAACACAGGGATGCTTACAGCTCTTCTAAAGCAGTGAATAAAACAGATACATAAAACTGAGAATTAGGGTTAGGGTCAACTGAGAAATTCTGTTCCTGTCACACAAATCTGTTTGCTCCTCACTGCCACTGCACACTCCACTCAAAATCTACCTCCTCAGCATGCTGGCAGAACCCCCCCCGGCTGGTCCTGCTCACCAACCTGACAGCCTGGATGTGCTCCCACGAGGCCACGCCAGCAAGAGGCCCCTTCTGCTCTTTGGTACGGCCATGCACAGTCAGCAGCTAGAACACAAGGTCACGTTCACTTTTCACATGTGTAAACCACTGGAGCCAATCCACTGACAAAAACTTCATTTCACCCCATGCATGCTACTGAATTCTCACTATTATTTCAATAGTGCAGAGATTTTGATATCACAGAAAGGTATCAGCAGCTCACCTACCATGGCATGGGCTTGGGCTTCTTTCAGCTTGCTATTCCACAGCATCACAACATCATATCTTGGGAGGACCTACAAATTTCCTACTGCCTTAGCTCCCATTTACGATTCACTTTGTAATTTGTGATCTATTGATCCGTCTTGCTCCTCAGAAAAAGGCCCAAATACTCAGAACTGGCTCTGCAGACCTTCTCTTCCAGTTTAACTGGAGTGAAGTCCTAGAAGGCTGCCTTATTTCTTTACTTGTGGTGGTTACCTTTGATGCTGTTTTTCCTCCTATAGCCCTGTGGATTTTATGTATTCACACTGCCTCCTGCAGCACCATCCCGAGGTGCTCAGCCACAAAGAAGGAAATCACACTGTGCAGTGTTTAAAGACAGACTCTGAAATCATGATGTATTCCATGGCATACTTTTGACCTGTGGCCTATGACTGCAAATACACACACTCTCTCTTCATCCCACTTTTTCTGTCTGTAAAACCATGCAGTCTATTCTCCCCAGTAACCCAAGAAGTGGTCATCAGATGCTTTGCCTAGAGATGCATTCAGTGCAACAGTCCAGGAAGCAGCTGCCTCCTTACCTGGCAGCCAGCTTTCTCCAGCATCTGTGCATACTTCACTGTCTTGGAGATTTCTGGGAAAACGCGGATTTTGCATGTGATGGGAACAGAGAGCTTCTCATTAGCCAGTAAAACTGGGAAAGATTGAAAAGACAGGTGAGTGGGCTGCACAATGCTATGAAAAGTGCCTATTCTAAGATCTGACACTGGGTATGCTATGGAAAAATGCCTGGGAAGTTAATACTATGAAGTTCTCACAGCTTAAACAGTCAGCAGTGTCCTCCACAATCCTTCTTGCATAGGTTAATCACGTAATAGAAAACATGAAGCACATTCTAACATGAATCCACATTCTAACAAGACTTAAAATAGTCAGCATTTAACAGCCCTCATGTTTGCACTGTAGCAAACCTTCACTTTCAAGGGCTACTCCCCTCAAATCTTAATCACTGATACTGGTTTACTATCATCATCACAGGCTCTGAAGTGAAGGCACATGCTCAGCTCTACAGAGTGACCAAAACCTCACTTTTTAAACCAGTTCCAAATGTTTTTGTTATAAAAGGATTATACTGTTCTCAACTGCTATCGACAGTCTGAAAACATCCTATACAGACTAGAGAGGAGAGGCACAACTTGCCATGGAGTGAACAGAGAGAGTATCCTGCATTGACTGGAAAAGGGCAACAGTGGCTTCAGGCAGAAACACAACTCCTGGCACCCAAGAACTTCCAGTGAAAAAGTGGCAGTGCTGCTCCTTCCAGAATTGGAGAGCCACTAAGTCATCATCAGATTTGGACTTAACTGACTCACTTTCACCTGAAGTCTGTTTAAGGTACTGAAGTCTTTGAGCAGCTATAACCTGAGTTTGTAGTGGGATACCATCGAGTATCTTGAGGGTGTCACTGGAATACAGTAAGAAAGAAAAAAAAACCCAACCAAACCCACAAACACAACTGTACCCAAAGAAACATGCTGCACCTCCTTTCCCCCAAATCCCTAAACCTTCTCTCAAGGATGAGTTCATCCCATTCTCTTTCAAAGTGAAGTTCTTCTGAAAACTTACTCATTCTCTGAAGAAGATCCCACTCCTCTTGCAGAAAAGCTCCATAGTGCCCTATAATAAATAGCATATGACAGCCTTGTACAGAAGAGCAAGCCTCTGGAGCATACAGCCTACATAAACGTTCACATACTCATACACCTCACTGGTAGAAACACAGTTGTTCTGTCTCAAACAGAAAAACAAAAGCCCAAAGTGGGAGAGCTGGGTCACTCTCTTGCCCAAGGCTTACAGGGCAAACAGCAATTCCCCACGGCCAGCTTCCACTGCTGCTCCATAAGGCTGTGCTGACACAGGCAGCTCAAAGTCCAACTTTGACCTGGTTTAGACCAGGTGTTTCAAAATCCCCTTCAGAATAAAACTTGATCAGAATGAATGACCTGCTTGCCCTGTGCACCACTGATCATTTCCTGTTAGTCTTTGAAAGACATTTTAGAAGAGGAATGGGCAGTTACTGAACAAATCTTTTCTCAACATCCTAACTGATCCAAAATTTTCAAACACTGGTTTTGAAACACATCTATTTTTGCAGTATCTTTAGAGGATTCAGCAAGTGTTATTGCCTTATACACTAATGTGAATAAACTCTGTGCAAGTATCAAGGAAACAGGAGACACAGTGCCCACATGATGCAATTTGAAATGCAGCTTTGCAAAATTTGGCTGAGCAACTGAAATCAGAAAAAAAATCAAACTCTTGTTAAAAATCCTTTTCCTGAAGGATATTCTAGACACAAGAGCTGTCACTGAAGAGAAGCTGGAATTAATTATTAGTATATCTAATTTTTGTTTTAGTACCACAAAACATTACCTGTTAAAGTGAGAGTAACCAAGCCTGACTTCAGCAGTCCTGCAGCCACCCTCCCCCACGGCTTAATTTGGTCCTCTTGATGTTTTACTGCCGATGTCCATTTGAAACACACCCAAATTCTCTGTTTATCCAGGGTTCTCATTTGTACTTACCTCTCTTTGCAATCATCTGGGGGCAACCCAAATTTAGGTCTATGGCATCGCAATAATCCTGAGCCAACAGAGCTGCTTGGACAAACACTTCAGGGTCATTGGCACAGAACTGAGAAAGACAGAGAAAAGCGGAATCATTGGGCACTAGCTCTCTTCAAGTACTGACAACAAGTCATGACATAGTTATGAAGCAGCCACTTGCTACAGAAAACGGGCATAATAGACACAGTTAATAATAGCAAACACCATTTCTCATAAAAAAAAAAAAAAGGCAAAACCTGACATTTACCAGCTAAAGATCCTCAGCCTTCAAATGACAAAATGAGAAAGACGATCATTCAAGTGACAAAGAAATATTTGTAGGGTATTTTACATGTAGTACCCAAGAATAAGAAGGAACAATTCTTAAAGTCCTCTGCAGAACAAAGAGCTGTAGCATTTTCACACATAAAGGTGGTGCAGAAGAAGGGAGTTACACTTTGCAGACACCAACAGGCACCAGTGCCTCTAAAACGAATTCACATTAGTATGGAGTGTGAAACTGGGGCACTGAGCTGTTAGTCAAATGCTGTCTTAAATGTAATTAATTAACACTACATTTAAAGCCCAGTGCAAAAATCTATTAAGAAAAAATAGGTTAATTTGAGGCTGCTTTGTGGAGGAGGACAGAGCCAGACTATTCTTCTCATTAACACTTTTAAGCAGTTTTTCTATAATTCATTATTAACAAAAAAAATGCCATCACATATTTATGGCTTTAAACACAGAAAATTGCAAGTAGAAGGTGTTACTTAAACCCCACTGCTCCACATGTGGAAATCATGCCATTCCTCTGCTCACCGTGACTGTTTTTCCCCACACTATTCCCCAGCTCCTCAGGCTCCTCTCCCTCTTTAGCACAAAGTACCTGAACCCCACACAGTGTTCAAGACGCAGAAGCCACACGAGCTTAAGAGTGTGCCCCATCTTCCCTGCAGCCCTCTCCTGTAGGCAAGCACTGCGCTCACGGCTTCAGACAGCCGCTGGAAAATGTGTGAGTGGTATGGAATATGGAACAACCCTTGACCAGCTGCAATCTGTCTCTAAAGGTGAAGTGTGGAGGACTGAAACCCTGTGAGAAGTTGTTCCAGGCCCCCGTAGCTAAGACACCACATCCTCTTTGCTAGACAAGGCATAAACAGAAAAACATGCTTAGTGCTAGCAGTATTTACGTGGAGACAATGAGATTCCCGGCATCCTATATATGGCCACTTCAAAATCTAGGTGAGCTTAACTAGCTCGGACTCAGGTAGATTTGGAAAATCTGGGTGCGTTAACACACACGGAGCGCACGGCAAGGCTGAGGGCGCATCTGGCAACTCGGACTCGCTTCTGCAGCGTCACCGCAGAGCGCACCGCCGAGGCGAGCGCCGGGGCAGCCCTGCGGG